CCACCCAGAGAGCACACAGCTGAGGCCCACAGAGAGGAGGAGGGACATACAGCTCACACACGAGCACACCAATAGACAAACAGCACCAGGATGACGGTCTTAAGGCTCTGTGCCCCAGGCAGTCATGATACCTCTCTGTATCTCGGTTTTCTCATCTGCCAAAAGGAGATGGTAATGGTCCCTTCCTCATGGGATGTGGTGAGGATGAGGGGGGTTAAAAAGCACACAAAGAGAACAGTGCCCGGCACACAGTGGTCACTGTAGCAGCGTTTGCCACAAAGACACAGGGAGAGGGCCACACCCTTTTGGCCCCCGCCAGCATCTATCCCCAGATCCCCCTTTCAGAAGCCCTTGCCCCCTTCCCAGGCCCAGACCTGACCCTTCCTCCATCTTCTTCCTTCCTTCCCCACTGCCCTCCTCACCCCTGTCCAGTCCCCAGGGGCCAAAGTCCAGGCAGGGTCCATAGGCCTGTTGCTTTGCAGGACAAAGGGCTGGTGCCTCATTGATGGGACTCCCCCAGCCCAGCTCCCTTGGCTCAGGCCCCTCAGCCCTACCTCTGCCCCAGTCCTCACCCAGGGCGCCAGTGGGCCTGTCCCTGCCCCAATGCCCTCTGCCTGCGATTCTTGGCGAGCTTCTGGCAAGCTCAGTATCCCTTCCTTCCAGCTCCACCCAGCCCAGCACCCCAGGGGGCCGCATGGAACAGAGCAAAGGGCAGGGCCCTGGAGCCAGGAGGGCCTGGAATCCAGTCCCTTCCTCAAGGCTTTGTGCAAATTACATGTTCCGGCCAAGCTCTCTTCTCTGACATCTCTAATAAAGATGCCTGCTCCGTGGATGGGAAGGAAACGCGACTGGGTGATTTCCCCCATCAGTCATACAGTAAATATTTACCAAGCGGCAGCTTGTGCCAGGCACTGCGCAAGGGCATTGGCTCCAGCAGTGAATTAAACAGACAAAAGTCCCTGCCCTCAGGAGCCTGTAGTCTGTTGGGCGAGACAGAGCAAACAAGGTAAACAGTAAATTGTATAGTATGTTAGAAGGTGATAAGTGCTACAGGGAAAAATAACCCAATGCACTATCTCAGTGAAGCCGAGTGAGCGCCGCAAAGCAAACCACGTGCAGGAAACGCCCGTACGCGGCATGCTTACAAAGCGCGCGTCCTGCCCTGAGCTGGGCAGGAGTACCAACTGCAGTTTCCAGATGAGGAAACCAGCCTCACTCAGGATCACCCGGCACATGTTGTCAGCCAGATGTCCCAGTGTCACAGCCGCCAAGCTGTCTGTCCATCTGTCCACCTATTCGTCTGCCCTGGGGAGGGGTAGTCCTTTCCCAGGCTCCCATCCATCCTTCCTGTCCCTGCTCTGACTCTCCATCCCTTGCTTCCTTCATCTGTGCACCTACTATGTGCTAGGCCCCCATGATGGGCACTGGGGCCACCCCTTGCCTCCTGGGGATGACACTCAGGTGGGGAGAGAGACAGAGGATTCACCTAAAGCCACACAAATCACGCTGAGGCTTCAGGGCCTCCTGTTTGCACACAGGTCCCTTCCAAGGCTCTGTAACTAATTCTGTAATTTTTTTATATAATTTTATTTATTTGGTAGTTGTTGAGAATGTAATTTTGTATTCTTAAGTGCTCTGCTGCTAACTAAAAGGTCGGAGGTTTGAACCCACCAGCTACTTCTCCGGAGAAACATGTACCAGTCTGCTCCCTTAAAGCTTACCTATGGGGCAGTTCTTCTCTGTCCTACAGGATCGCTATGAGTCGGCATGGACTCGGCAACAGGCTTTTCCTAAGGAACCCCACCCCTACACTGTATAAGCTTCACAACACCATAAAACCTGGTTCTTCCTGGCGGGGTCGGGGGGAGACAGACAACCAACATCTAAACAAACAAATGCAAAATTACAAAATGTGTCAAATGCCAGGAAGGGGAAGATCTAAGTATTATGGCAGAAGATAACGGGGTGGGGAGGAGCAATTAGGGAGTGCCTCTTAGCTGAGGCCTGAAGGGTGAAAACGAGCTGGGCAGACAAGGAGCATGCAGAAGAATAACATAGGTGAGTGTCTCCCTGAGCCTGTTTCCCGTATGTGAGGTGGGCATGACAGTCACAGCAGGATGGGCTGTGAAAGGTGACAGGTACAGGGTACC